TAGTTAGTTAGTTAGTTAGTTAGTTAGTTAGTTAGTTAGTTAGTTAGTTAGTTAGTTAGTTAGTTAGTTAGTTATTTAGTTAGTTAGTTTAGTTAGTTAGTTAGTTAGTTAGTTAGTTAGTTAGTTAGTTAGTTAGTTAGTTAGTTAGTTAGTTAGTTAGTTAGTTAGTTAGTTAGTTAGTTAGTTAGTTAGTTAGTTAGTTAGTTAGTTAGTTAGTTAGTTAGTTAGTTTATTTAGTTAGTTAGTTTAGTTAGTTAGTTAGTTAGTTAGTTAGTTAGTTAGTTAGTTAGTTAGTTAGTTAGTTAGTTAGTTAGTTAGTTAGTTAGTTAGTTAGTTAGTTTGTTAGTTTGTTAGTTTGTTAGTTTGTTAGTTAGTTAGTTAGCTAGTTAGTTAGTTAGTTAGTTAGTTAGTTAGTTAGTTAGTTAGTTAGTTAGTTAGTTAGTTAGTTAGTTAGTTAGTTAGTTAGTTAGTTGGTTAGTTGGTTAGTTAGTTAGTTAGTTAGTTAGTTTGTTAGTTAGTTAGTTAGTTAGTTAGTTAGTTAGTTAGTTAGTTAGTTAGTTAGTTAGTTAGTTAGTTAGTTAGTTAGTTAGTTAGTTAGTTAGTTAGTTAGTTAGTTAGTTAGTTAGTTAGTTAGTTAGTTAGTTAGTTAGTTAGTTAGTTAGTTAGTTAGTTAGTTAGTTAGTTGGGTTATCATCATTGCACTCCGGACATGTCTATAGGTGTTCAGATCCTCCCCTCAGTGTGAACCCCAACGTCCGATGGCTAATGGTACCAGTTCTATGTTGATTAACAAGTCTTCTGGTGTGCGTCTGGTTTTTTATCTACGGCGATCTTAATTCCCAAGTCCGCCATTCTGGCGAGTGATGTGGATTCAATGCCCCCAAAGTTTCATTTCCTCTATCCTTCCCATTTCTCTGAGGGCATTAATAATATCAGCATGATCTATAGGTTGACCGTCGGTAGTGATAGCGGATCTAGCCAACCTGTCAGCTCTTTCATTTCCATCCACGCCTGCGTGTCCCGGAACGAAAATAAGGGTGACTCCACGCACAGTGGACTTCTGTAATGATTCAAGCTATTGTCTTGACACCAAACCTGTCTAAACCCTGGTAATGTGGTCTTGCAGTCTATCTTCTTCAGGGTAGTTTTTTTGGTGCACATCCAGTTTACAGGTCTAGCTTATTTGTAAGCAGACAGTTGGTTTCTTGCCTTTTAGGAATATGCACTCAGACTTTAAAGGAAACATATCTAGTTAGTCGCCTGCTACGTCATGCAGTGGTTCTATCTTTGTTTTCTCTAAAACGGAGCCGCGGAACACACAAATATAATACAAGGAATAAGGAAAATATGTGGAGGGTATAAAATCACTGGACAGACAGACAGACACACAGACAGACAGACTGACAGAAATACATTGGGGCGGCCCGACCTACCGACAGACGGACGGACGGATGGACGAACGGATGGATGGATGGATGGATGGATGGATGGATGGATGGATGGATGGATGGATGGATGGATGGATGGATGGATGGATGGATGGATGGATGGATGGATGGATGGATGGATGGATGGATGGATGGATAGATGGATGGATGGATGGATGGATGGATGGATGGATGGATGGATGGATGGATGGATGGATGGATGGATGAATGGATGGATGGACGGACAGACGGACGGACAGACAGACAGACGGACAGACAGACAGACGGACAGACAAACAGATGGATAGATAAACCTATTAGGAAGTGGATAAGTGGATGATTGAACTAATAATTGTTTACAAGGTTGAATATTATTACAAGCAGATTGAATAATGTAAAATCATAAATCTTCAAACGACTTAAACTCCATATAGTGATTGAGTGGGAGAAACATACACATTAAAAAGATTAGTTTTGGGGTGAGCAATAAATAAACATACAAAAACAACAAAGGACCGCGAAACAGAAAATGAAACAACAGGAAAGAATCTGAGAAAACGTATAAAAGAAAAATATTATTTGTTTATTAAGTCAAAACAGAAGTGAAGAGAAGAAAAATGAGGGGGAAAAAACACCAAAACAGGCAAATTAATGTAATACGAATCCCGCAAAAGCTGCTTCAGAGAATTGGAGGTCATGGTCACGTGGCTAATTGCACTCTTTATTTATAATTCACAAAAATAATACTAATAACGATTTGGAATCGGTAAGAAACAAAAATGGGCGTGCATGCCTTTATTTTTGCATCTTGGCTTGCTTGCCAAAACGTCAGTTGTCAATTCGGTTCACACATTCTGGAAATCAAACTAGCATAGGAAAAACGCAACACGCTAGGGAATATTTGTATCTGGATGCAAAACTGAGATAGAAACAGTGCAGGCGATGGATCGAATCTGGACGTGATTTGATTGTATGTATTTTTGGAAAGATGGCATTCATTACGGATTTTATATAAATCACAGTTAGGTATAGTTTTCCTAAACTGGCAGCTGGGCACAATATATTTGAAGACAACCAGACAGTTCCACTATGTATATCATATAGGACGTAAGTTTAATAACTGTCGAGATTTTGAAATCAAATATTCGCACACCTTAATAAAATTTCTATATTACGTCATGATTCAAGCGCCATGTAACCGTTAGTTTAAAATATCACTGCTATTTACTAGCGTTTCAGAAACTGATCTTAGCTATATTTATTCGTTCATTGGCACCTTTCCGTCTTTCCAGAAGATAGTGTTATATCGCGCTATGAGGAAGAATGAGACAGACAGCCCATGGCGATGACGAGTGTGACTAGCAAGACCCGCTGCTGTCAAGAAAAGTCTTCCACAATGATAGCATGGGATTTCAGGATCCTTGTTAACAACATTTGTGTTTAATCCATTTCTTTTCAGATGCATAGCTCTCATCTTTTCTGCAATCATTTCTTCCTTCAGTCTCATTCCCTTCCTGATATGCCCTTTCCACACAACACGGTCCTTGGCATTTTGTTCTCATGAGTCCGCCTCAATACCTGTATCATTTATGTCCCGCTTGCACACATCTGTATAACGTAGCAGAGGTCGGCCTCAACATCTTCTTCCTGTCTTTAATTCACCATAAAGGATGTCTTTAGGGACTCTGCCAACCTCCGTTCTCCAGGTGTGATCCAGCCACCTGAGCCTTTGTAGACTGAGAATGGAAAAGACTGTTGAAGTACCTGCTATTTCCAGTACCTCAGTGTGTGTGATTTTGTCCTGCAACTTAATGCCAAGTATTCTTCTTAGGCATCACATGTGAAAGCTATTAGGCCGTCTCTCCTGGTGCAAATATGTTGACCAAGTCTTTGCCATAAAGCAGAGTGCTGAGAACACAAGCCTGATAGACACGGGGTTTTGTTTTAATTGTGAGCTTTCTGTTCTCCCAAACTCTCTTTGTTAGTCTGCTCATTGTTCTTGCTGCCTTATTTATCCTGATGTTGATTTATTGGTCCAGCGATAGTTTACTATTCATTGTGGAACCCAGATAGGTAAAATGGTCTACTGTCTCAAGCTCCTCACCGTCAATGTAGACTGTAGGTCTGTCATTTACACCTTGCACCATAACCTTTGTCTTCTTTTTGCTAACTATTACTCCAAATTCACAGCACGCATCAGCAAAGGCAGATAGTAAACATTGCAGTTCCTCCTTTGAGTGGGTGGTTATTGCGGCATCACCTGCAAACAGCAGCTCTCTGATAAGTACCTTTCTTATCCTGGTTTTAGCCTTCAGCCTGCGAGCATTGTAAAGGCTGCCGTCAGATCGAGAATGAATGAAAATACCACCCTCCTGATCTCGGAAAGCATGTTTCAAAAAAAAAAAAGTGAAAAGTATATTCCAAAGACCTCCTATCCATAGCACAAAGCCTAGGCAGTATTGTAGAGACCATATGATGCCCAGGCATAATGATCTCTCGCTCGGCCTGCCTTGTTTACTCCAAAGGTGAGTTAAAACCAGTACGTCTGAAACAAGGCAGGCTGCAGAAGCTGTCGGATCAGAAGAGCAATGCTCTTTCTGCCCGCCTGTCGGAGCTTCCCTCCTAGACCAGCTGCCAGCCAAGGCGAAGGTCCTGGTCTGCCCTGCCATCTTAGCTATAACGGTGTTAAATATTAGAACAGAGTATTTTTGTTCAAGAATATTTTCCTTAACGGTGGCAGGTATTCGAGTGTGGTTCTTTAACAATTTCTGAAGCTTTTTGCTGATGCTCAAGTGCCGCATTCTTATACTGTCAGCAGTTTAACCTATAAAGCCGACTGTAAATAGAACTATAGAGATGTAATATGGAAAATCTCATTTATATGTACTTTTTGTACTATATGTAATATATATATATACACACACATACACACCCACACACAATCATACACCCGATAACAGTCATGCAACAGGGTGCTAAACATCAACTATTCTAAATATGGGAACATGGAACGTTAGCACAGCGGGGAAATGAGACAACTCCAAAGAAAGAAATGACAAGACTCACTGTGAATATCATGGGAATGGGTGAGACCAACTGGACAGGGTCAGGAGTGTCTGACACACATAAACTTGATCATGCTGGGGGAAAGAGAACTACCGAAGAGGAGTAACCCCCCTTTTGGATCAGGTAGGAAGTGTCCAAAACGGTTTCTACCGGTAGGTATCAGGAAGTCGCCGCGCCATTAATGTCCGCAGCGTATTCACGCTGAGGAATTCACATCTTTTACTGCTTACGTATACTATTGTTTCGGTTGTTGTCCTTCCATCGGAATTTGAAGAAAATACCCTTTTTTATCTCCATAAAACTAGCGTCTCAGAAACTGGGTGCGGCCTAAATACGCTTAAATAAGGTGTGTGCACCACTTATTAATTATCTGCAGTTTGCTGTTACTTCGACACAATCATTAAAGCTCACATTCAGTAAACAATCTACATACACACATGCGCACACAAACGTATATAAACACGTATATTACTTATGTAGTAACAAATGCTTTATCTCATGTTGCAGGATGAGAAGAACCAGATTATTACAACGAACTGTTGGATCAATCAGGTAAAATGTACAATCTGTAAAGCTTGATAACACCTTCGCATTTGTTGAATTTGTTGTCGGGGAGGGGAGGGGAGGAGGAGGGGGAGTATATACCTGCTGTTCAAGTCAACCCATACTAAAGCGGGTACTAGCAATTGTTCTGAAAAGTAAACATGGCTGGCGAAAATTATTTATAAATATTTACAGATTTATTGTTTATGGGCTCCTATTGTATAATATTTACATATTTATTATCTATAGGCTTAAATCTCAAAGCATTTATAGGTTGATTGCTATTTCTAGGCTCACAGTACAGGATATCCACAGATTTATGTGTTATGGGCTCCTATTGTATAATATTTACATATTTTTTTATCTATAGGCTTATATCTCAAAGCATTTATAGGTTGATTGCTATTTCTAGGCTCAAAGTACAGGATATCCACAGATTTATGTGTTATGGGCTCCCGGCTTTAAAAAAAATGGGAAGCGGTGGGGGGGGGGGGGGGAGAGAGATCTTGCCTGAAACTGTTGATGAAACTGAGATTATTAGTGTTGACGACATTTTGCGACCGTGCAACAATGTGGAAACATTACGCCACATTAAGAAGTGGAAACATTACGCCATGGACCTCTCCATGGTGATCCTCACCAATATGGTGGCACATTGTGTCATCAGGTGTTTATCGCTTGTGTGATGTCCTGGTGGGGTAGAAAGTCAGTCAGTCTCTAGCGGCAGGGGGTAAGAAGTGTTGGTATTGTGGGTAGTGTTCCCCCCCCCCCCCCTTTACTTCACTTTAGGTCTAGTTAATATCTGTTCACGAAAGGAGCGTCCATTGCGGTGTCAGCCTCTTGACCTAGCAAAACCTCTCTTACCTCAAGACCATTGTGCGTGGCGAAGAGTCACAGCCTCTTTATATATATATATAAAGAAATGTCTCTTATCCGTCTGTTCGGTTATCCGCCACTGTCCTGTGCGGGTAATCAAAATTGCACTGTACCTATACACATTTGATGATGTCTGTGCCCCTCTCCTCCCCCCCCCAACCCCCACCAACCCCCAGTTCATGTTTTTGCATGTACATATCCCTGATCATGTAAATGTGATCTCTATACACGCAGATGTGGATCGACCCCAAGCTCAGGTGGGAGCCGATGAAATACGGAAACATTTCAACTGTCAACATGCCCTATGACTCTGTTTGGTTACCTGATGTGGTCTTGTACAACAGGTAATTGACCTACAACAGGTAATTGAGTTACAACAGGTAATTGATTTACAAGTAATTGACTCACATCAGATAATGGACTCAAAGCAGGTAATGGACTTAATTTAACTTTATCCTCGAATGAGTGCCAGGTCCCATTCTCTGAGGGAGGGGGATCATACCAACTGACGCCTGACAAGCAACTCGTAAAAGACAGTTAACTAAGGGTTGTCCTTCAGAGTCGTGGCGCATCTACCCATCTAAGGAGAAGCCAGTATCTTTCTGCCACCTAGATGATGGTTGATGAAGCAGACGAACACAGACATCGGCAATGACCAGATCACACGACAACTGGATAAAGAAAATCCAGACCTGACTATCCAGAGCGCTTAGAGAATCATGCGCAGAAACAACATACCGACAACAGTGATGGCAGTCACGTCAAAAGGAAATAATATACATATATCCGTGTCCTATAGGAAGAAAACGCTGAAGACAGAACATTGCATCCCAAATTTACTGCAGTGCTACTGTTGTCAGAAGGTCTTCCACTTCAGAATCAGTTGCCATAGCAAAGTGGAATATTGCAGATACTGTTCCCGGAGTGCATCCTAGCTAAGAGATACAAGGATTACAGAAAGCCGAACATAAATAGGAAATGCGCAGACTGCTTCGGAAACTACGGAGTAAGATATCCGTACATTCCAAAGTGCAAGAAAACCATAAAGACGAAAATAGTCGACAACATTCCTGACACTCTAACAAGAAGGGAAAGCCAGGCAGTCCGTGGTCTGTCAGCCATAGAAACAAGACGGCTCTTAACAGAGATCAAGGAGCTGAGAAACCAACTAAGCGAAGCACAACCTACACGAAAAGCAAACATGGCAGATAAGAACACATAAACTGAGCGCAGGCAGCAGCAGCAGCACATGTCACTGAATACTGAGATGGTGAAGAAAGCAGGAAAAGGCACAGGGACTCAAAAACTGAGGCAGCAACACAAGTCAGAGGCAACAGAGACGGTGAAAGCCATGGAAAAAGCCACCTCCATCGACGATGTAGACAAGAAGATTGCAGAATTCAAAGAACTGCAACTTTTGATACAAAGAGATACAGAAGTCTTGACAGAAAACAGAGTGCATCGCAACGATGAGGAAAATTGAAGACAAACACAACAAACCTTAGACATAAAAAATTGTAAAAATTCAACAAGTACTGAAAAAAAAAAAAAAAAAAAGACGACCAAGAAGAAAAAGAGAACGATACCT